GGGGCCAGGGAGGTGCCTGGCCCAGTACAGGAAGGGGAGCCCAGACTAGCGGTTCTAAAAGGAGGAAAAGCCTGCCCTCTCGGGGTCACTGTGGAAATTGCCAAAGGTGCGAATTTTGACCCCCTAATGGTCTGGGGGCACTGCGTGGTGGTGGGGGGCAGGCATCCAACCCCTTCTCACAGGCCTTGGACTTGACTGATTTTCGAATGTGCTATCAGATATTCACACAAGGATAAGCCTGTATGTAACCACCTGAACCTGGACTCGACATCGTCCAGGTCACGTATAAACGGGTAGCTCGCACGGGCTTTTACTCAAACCCAAATTTCCAGAAGTGCAACTACGGGGTAATGGAACTCTGTGTTTTGTTGTATTCGGAATCTTTTTTTTACTTAATATATTTTTAAAAAAATGTTTTATTTATTTCTAGGAGAGAGAGAGAGAGAGACAGCATGAGCAGGGGAGGGTCAGAGAGAGAGGGAGTCACAGACTGAAACAGGCTCCAGGCTCTGAGCTGGCAGTCAGCACAGAGCCCGACGCGGGGCTCGAACCCACGAACCGCGAGATCATGACCTAAGCGAAAGTCAGACGCTTAACCGACTAAGCCACCCAGGTGCCCCTGTTGTATTCGGAATCTTTCCACGAGCTGCTGGGCGATTTGGAGAAAGCACGTTAGGGCCGTGGCACCTCACTGGTGCGGGAAGCATCTGCTCCCCTGCGCCCCCTCACCACCCCCACGTTTGCTGGGTCACATACATCCACAGCCACAGCACGTTTGGGTACAAGCATCGGGACTTTTTGCCCGAGCGTTTACATCCCGAAGCCCACGGTATTGTGAGCACAAGTAACTCTGCCTGTTTCTCCCGGATAACACCCTCAGATCTTGGCCTTCTGGACATCAAGGTTAGATGGTCCATCAGCATTTCATTTCTGGAGAGAAAGGGCTCATTTCAAAACATGTCAGGCTTACTCTGTCCTAACAAACCCTCTCCACTTGTGAGAAGGCGAGAAACGTCAGGACCTTCACGGGGGGCCCTGGCATTCTCTGTCCCCGTCATTGTCTGGGTCGGGGCCAGAAGGCAGGCAAGGGGTGCCTGGGACCACAGGCCTAAGCGGCTCTCCCGTCCAACTGTGACAGAAGCAAAGCTTCATTTATTCCCCGTCCCGTGCTTCGGGCAGAGCGCTCAGGTCTGAGCGTGGAGAGAGGGTGCTAGAAAGACCCCGGCAGCAGACAGTCTCACCACACAGATCGTGCTCTTGACCTGGTACGGGGTTTCTGGAACACCGATCCTTCGTGGTAATTCATGTGATGCTGCTGCTGCTTCTGTCATTCCCTGTGCGCCGCCTCTATCACGATTAGGTACTTACCATTTTTCCCTCTAAATCAATTCATTTTTAAAAAATTTATTTATTTAGGGGGGAAGCATGGGAGCAGGGGAGGGGCAGAGAGAGAGAGAGAGAATCCCCAGTAGGCTCTGAGCTGTCAGCACAGAGCCCGAACTGCGGCTCCATCCCATGTGAGATCATGACCTGAGCTGAAGTCTGACACCCAATCGACTGAGTCACCCAGGCGCCCTTAAATCAATCCATTTTTTAAGCTAACGAAATCTGCTTTACAAAGAAGAGCTCAGGCAGGCACCCACTGGGGTGGCCCAGTGGGATCGGCTCAGGTCATGATCTCAACATTCGTGAGTTCGAGCCCCGTGTCCGGCTCTGTGCTGATAGCTCAGAGCCTGGAGCCTGCTTCGGATTCTGTCTCTTTCTCAGCCCCTGCCCCGCTCACACTCGGTCTCTCAAAAATATATAAATGTTAAAAAATATTAAAGGAAAAATAAAGCAGCACTCAGGCTCCTCCTTGACCCCCACTCCTGGCACCCCCCCCACGCGGGGCTCGCCAGTGCGGCCGTGCTGGCTTCCTGCAGAAGGCCCAGCCTCCACACCATGGAGTCTCTTAGCTCTGCTCTCTCCCGGGCTGCCTTCCCTCTGTATCTGCTTGGCTCACTCCCTCTCCTCCTCCTGTCTTTGCTCAGCAGCACGAGGCCTACCTTGACCACACTTGCAACATGTCTCGCCCCCACTGTCCCTTGGGTCCCTTGGAAGTCCCTGCTTTATTGCTCTCCAAAGCTCTGCTGCCCCACCCCGCATCCGCCCCCAGGCTGTGGGCTGAGGGAGGGGTGAGAGCCTGTCCCTTCTGCTCCCTGCAGGCTCCGGGGCTGTGACAGCTGCTGACAGCTCAGCTAATGGAGTTTCCGCACTAGCTGGAGGGGATGCCATCAAGCCCCCCATCACCCAGGCCCCGAGGAACGAATATGGACATTGGGGGGGCGGGGAGGGAAGTTCCAGGCCGACCTGCCTTGGGACCAGAGTGGTGGCTAATCTGGGAATTCTTCCCCCACAAGTGTCGTTGAAGCCTGAGGCCTAAAGGCGGGGTCTGGAGGGGTCTGGGGAGGGGAGGGACCTTGCAGGGGGCGGGGCCTTCCAGCTCTGTCCAGGCCCCTCTGCTGGGGACCCTAGGGACTCTCCTTCTCTTTTCGGGCTTTGTCCACGGAGAGCCTGAACAGTTCTGCATTTCCTTGGAATCTGTCGCTGGGGAGGGAAGGGGGAAGCCAGGTCCTCCCAATTAAGCTCTGTGACATTAACAATCCACTTCCCAGGCCTCTGGGTGGGGGGCGGCAGGCTCGCGGGGATGCTGTTGACAGGTCCAGACCCAGGGCTGGGGCAGCTGTTTCTTTTCCAAGAGCAGGGCTGTGGCCACCAGAACCCCCTGGCCCTCTCCTCACGGGCCCAAGATCACAAATGCAGGATTTTCTTTTTCATTAGCTTAATGCTGCCTTTATTAACTGGGCCGGGTTCCTGGAACATACGATCGCGGCGCAAGAAATACAGCGCGCACACGTGCGCCGGCCCCCCACCGGCCGCGCGCACTGAGCGCCCGGGCTCTGGAGCAGCCGGCCCAGAAAACACCCAGGGCTACGGGGGCGGCCGCCAGAGGCACCGAGGCGGATTTGCACAAGGAAATGACTCTGGACGCTTCTGCGATATCGCAAACGGGCTGGGAGCGGCGGAGAGCTCAGAGCCTGGGGTGGGGTGGGGGGAGCGGACCCAGCCTCCGCCGGGGGGGGGGGGGGGGGGGGGGGAAGGGGAGGAAATCCGCGCCACGGGCCCTGCAGCCCGAGAGCCGGAAGAAGTACCTTTTTTGCCCCCTGCTCCTCTTCGACGCCGTCGCCGATCACGATGTAGACGGCTTTCCTGCCGAATCTCTGCATTATCCTCTCGAAACAGCTCTCCTTCCCTGCGCGCACAGGAAGGAAAGAGAGAAGAGACTGGGGACCCGGGATGGCAGGGACTCATAACTGCTTGCTGGGAGGCGCCACCCTCCTGAGTGCCAAGCACCCATCATTTCATCCTCAAGCAAGCGTTTGAGGCGCGTCCCCATGTGGGGGTGACGGCGCAGGGAGGCTCAGTGGCTTCCTCCGGGTGATGCAGGAGAGGCGGTGCAGGGGATCGAAGAGGTGTGGGGTCTACGCAGCCGGCTGGACCCATTTCACAGCTGGGGACACCCGGGCTCTGACAGGTGACGTGATTTAGGAGGCAGAGGGCCAGGAGTCACATGCCCATGGTGGGGTGGGGGCAGCCTGGCGACAGACTTGGGCCTCAGGGTGACTCCCCTGCCGGTGTTTCCCTTGCTACCGGGGAGGACCTCCTCTCCACAGTCTCGGTTTTCCCGGATCTTAGCATCCTGATGTGTGAGCCAGATTGGAACAGTGAGGGGAACAGCGTTACTAAAAGTAGCCGCGCTCACTGTATTTTCTGTATCCCAATGCTCCCTACATCAGATTTCCCAGGCTTGGCGTTAGTGGCATGTGAGGCTGGGTGACCCTGTGCCGGGGTTGGGGGTGCTGCCCGGGTCCCTGTGATGCCTAGCAGCCCCCCACCCCTCCCCTATACATCCCGCAGCGCCTCCTCCAGTTGGAAAAGGGAAAATGTCTCCAGATGTTGCCAACGATCTCCTGGGAGGCACACAGCTTCCCCGCTGTTTGTGAACCACTGACTTAACATTATTTACTATGACAGCGATCCTTAAGAAACTGCAATTAATAAAATTCCTCTTAGAGATAAAGAAACTGAGGCCGATGGAGTGCCTCGAGGAGTAGCGGAGTAATGTCAGTAGAAGGGATAATAATTATTTTTGAGCACTTGTGCTCTGCTGGGAACTGCTGAATGTTTTGCATGTACGATGCCCCTCTGTCATATGCTTAGAGGTATTCTGATCCTCCACTGTTTATAGACAGAGAAGCAGAGGCACGGAGAGGTAAAGGCACTTGCCTGGGCCACCCGGCTAGCAAGCACTGAGTCGGGATTTGAACCCAGGCTGCCTGCCCCAAGTACTTGAGCTCCGAGCTACTCTGTTATCCTGCTCTGAGTAGGACTCAGCTGTGCTGCAGACCTTTCGTTCCTCCCTCTCTGCCTGCTTTCTCCTCTGTGGGAGGTGAGGCTGGCTCAGAGCTGTGAATCATAACTGGGAGTTAAGAGAATACATCACTACCCTGCAATTCCCATTCCCTCCAGCAGGTGGAGCCCTTTCTCCACCCCGCTGATATCAGTGTGGCCACGTGACTTGCTCTGACCAATCCTGGCATGCTCGGGACCTGCCCGGGGTTGTGTGCATGGGTGGTGTGGCTTGGCCCCCTACACCTCTGCCATCTGTCCTGAGACCACGTTCCCCTGATGGCCGCTGGTACCACAGTGAGAGCATGTGTGGAACGGAGCAGAACCTGGAGGCAAGCTTAGACTGAAATCATATGGCATTTGTCTTTCTCTAATTTTGCTTAGCATAATACATTCTAGTTCCACCCACATAGTTGCAAATGGCAAGATTTCATTCTTTTTGATCACCGAGTAATATTCCATCGTGTGTATACACCACATCTTTATCCATTCATCCTTCGGTGGACATTTGGGCTCTTTCCATACTTTGGCTGTTGTCCATAGCACTGCTATCGTGCTCCTTCGAATCAGCATTTTTGTATCCTTTGGATAGATACCTACTAGTGCAATTGCTGGGTCGTAGGGTAGTTCTATTTTTAATTTTTTGAGGAACCTCCATGTTGTCTTCCAGAGCGGCCGCACCAGTTTGCATTCCTACCAGCAGTGGAAGAGGGTGCCCCTTTCTCCACATCCTCGCCAACATCTGTTGTTGCCTGAGTTGTTAATTCAACCACAGAACCACTATATTAAAAAGAACACTCATCACCTGGCACCCATCGGGACGACTATTATCAAAAAAGGAAAGAAAAGAACAAATGTTGTGGGGGACGTAAAATGGTGCAGCCGCTGCAGCAAACAGCGCAGTGGGTCCTCAGAAAAACGAAAAATAGAATTAGATCCAGCAATTCCACTGCTGGGTATTTACCCCCAAGAACTGAAAGCAGAGTGTTGAAGAGCTATTTGTACACCCATGTTTACGACTGCATTATTGTGCAACAGCCAAAACGTGGAAGTAACCAAGTGTCCGTTGGCAGATGAGTGGATACACACAATGTCGGATGTATGGATAACGGACTATTGCTCAGCTTTAAGAAGCAAGGGAATCTGACACCTACTCCCAGAAGGATAGGACCCTTGCAGACCTTATGCTCAGTGAACCAAGCCAATCACAAAAGGACAAGTATGACAGAATTCCACTTATGCGAGGTCCCTAGAGCAGTCACATTTGCAGAGACAGAAAGGAGGAGGTGGCCGCCACGGGCTGAGGGCAGAAGGAGTGGGGGCCAGGGGGGGCTGTTTAATGCAGACCGAGCTTCAGTTCTACAACATGGAAAGGGTTCTGGAGATGGATGGTGGGGACGGCTGCACAACAATATGAATGTGGTTAATGCCACTGAAATGCACCCTTAAAAATGGTTAAGGTGGTAAATTTTATGTGTATTTTCCCATAATTAAAGATAAAATATTTTATTTAGCTGAAGTTGGACACTCAACCGACTGAGCCCCCCAGGCTCCCCATGATAAAAAATATTTTAAAAGGAGGTTCTGACTAAGCCTGCAAAGGCACACGAGTAGACTGTGCAGAAAGAAAATGACTGGCTCACCAGGTCCCGTCGCATAAGCTCTAATGGCCACCTGGGGTCTGATGTTCATGACTTTAAAATCAGAAAAGACACTTTTCTGTTAATGTTCAGACTCAGAACTTCAGTAAAGGCAAAAACTGTCTGGGATAATTGCTTCCAAAGTACTATAGTTTTTTTTTTCTCTCCAGAAGAAAACAAGGGTAAAAATTTCTAATTAAAAACCTCTTGGGGTGTCTGGGTGGCTCAGTCAGTTAAGAGTCTGACTCTTGATTTCAGCTCAGGTCATGGTCTCACAGTTCATGCGGTCAGGCTCTGTGTTGGGCTCGATCTGTGATGCACACACATGTGCGCGGTCTCTCTCTCTCAAAATAAATTAATGTTTAAAAAAGACTTAACTAACTAGATTTATTTTGTATTATTATACAGTTTCAGGTGATGTAAGAATACCCCCCTCCCCAAGAAAACCAATATTACTTGCCCTGATGATAAATGATGCTGTTAATTTCTGGTTATTAAATTCTTTTATCTGATAGGAGCTCTGAGCCTAAGGCTTGTTCTCTTTGTTAATAATGGAGATGATCAAGTATTAAGAGAGGCGTTAACACAGGATAACACTAAACTGAGACTCACTCCTTAAAAGAGAATTAAAAAAAAAAAAACCCAAAACTTTCTCTCTGTGCAGTTCAAGGTTAGATTTAAGATTCTTTGATGACTTACACCAACTAAAATTAAAATCACCTCCTGTGCCACGCTGTGGCAAGGACTGTTTCCCTCTTCTTCTTTTTTTTTTTTTTTTTAATTTATTTCTAGGAGACAGAGAGAGAGAGACAGCGTGAGCAGGGGAGGGTCAGAGAGAGAGGGAGTGACAGACTGAAACAGGCTCCAGGCTCTGAGCTGGCAGTCAGCACAGAGCCCGACGCGGGGCTCGAACCCACTAACCGCGAGATCATGATCTAAGCAAAAGTCGGATGCTTAACCGACTAAGCCACCCAGGCGCCCCTCCCTCTTCTTGGTAATATAATTCCGTGACTTTTACCTGGGTTCATGGCACTTAGCTATGGACTACATTTCCAGCCTCCCTTGCAAACAGCCATGTGACTAAGCTGGGGCCAATAAGGGGTGAGTAGAAGTACTATGTACCCCTTCTGAGTCTTGGCTTTGAAATATTGGACACGTATTACTCCTTCCTCTTCCCCCCTCCTTCCCATAAGTCGGAATGACAATGTGGCAGGATTCTGATTTGGCCACACACATGAGAATAAAACCACAGGGGATGGTGGAAAAAGAAGATGGGAAGGACCTGGGATTCTGGGTGAGTTTCAGGACAGAGCTGCCCCACTAGCCTGGATCACTCACGTTGGGTCTGTTGACAAGTGAGGGAGAAATAAGCTTTGATGCTGATGGAAGCCCATGTATTTGGGGGTATATTTGTTACAGCAGCTTTGCAGGCATCCTAACTAACACACGCACTTTAGAATATGGTCCTAACCAATTTCTTTGGAACCTGAGGTTTAAAGTGAGTGGTGTGTGGGATCATTCTGGGGATCTGAGTCACACCCATGGACGAGTTAAGTTCTTTAGCTTCCCTAATGCTGTTTTCCATAAGCTTCTCATACAAGGGACGGAAGCTAACCTCACCCACCCCTCTGTGCATCGCCCCGAGGTCCTGGTTCTCCCTACCTGTCTTAGTTGCACTGTAGATGTTCTCAATGGGAAACACGGAGCCCAGTCCATACAGCAGGACTTTGGCCAGGGCAGGAATTAGCTGAGTGGTAGTGACCAGCACGTTGACACAGTTGGGCCTGAGGACAAAAAATGACTGTGGGTCAGAACACCAAGGTACGGCCAGGCCAAGCCCCTTCCCCCGTCAGCAAGAGCCTGGAGTCAGCAGGCACCCTGGTGGGGGCTGGGAGCTCTGGCTAAGCCATCTTCAGGTGAGAGTGGGGCCCCAAAATCCTTCAGCTGTTCCTCTCCTGCAAAGCCTGAGGCTGCCTGGCACGTCGAAACACGAGTGCAATACTTTTATTTAGAAAAATGTTTCTGGCGAGGGCCCACGCTTAAAACAGTGGCCCCTGCCTCTCGGTGACGTCCAGGAGTTAACATGGCTCAGGGGTAGGACAATAGGGAGTGGTGAGGGGTGGGGTAAACTGGGGAGCACCTACTGGTTCTGATATGTTTCCAGAATACGGAAACCTGGAGCCATGGGTTACTTTCCCACTCTTTGGGACAGAGTGTGTATCAAAGAAGACACACCAGCGGGATGGAGCTATTCTGTGACCGTTCACGTGGTGGCTCACGAGATTTTTGATGCTGGCGCAGACAGTAATGTGTCCCCTGGCCCAGATGGTCTTCTTTAAGGGCCAGAGGCAATTTACTGGGAGGCCCAGAATGAAACTGGACCCTCCTTACTTTGTAAGCGCCAAATGATCTGCAGCTTTTGGAGGGTGTTGTGACGGGTGGGTGTTGTGGGCAAGAGTGGGTGGGGACAGGACGGACCTGTGTACAAACGTCTTTGGCTCTGCTGGGCCCTGGTTAGTGTCGGTACATGTTTGCTCAGCTGTGGTACCAGGTGGTGCTTTAAAATACCTCCGCTTTATCAAATGTCCGGAGAGCCCGCAAATGAGAATTTAGAGAGTCCAATTCTCCCAAGTGTGGAAATAAGAGGATCCACCACCCTCAAATGGGAGAAAGTTCAGGGGCGCAAAGGAAAATGGGGGCTCCCACCTACCGGGAATTGATGAGGTTGAGCGCCTTCAGAGAGTGGGTCAGCCAGAGGTCGGTCAGAGCCTCCAGCTCGGCTCTGAGCTGCAGCCAAGTCTCTCTTTTGGGAGCTCCTATCAAGCCTGTGGACAAGGGAAATAAAGATGTGCTGGTCATTATTTGAGAAGTCTGGGGGCTAGTGGTTAGGGAGGGGGAGTCTAGCTACTGGTACCCTGAGGTTTCAAATCAGATGACACCCAAGGACAACTTTAATCCAGTGATTTTAATCTTATTTTGGGATTGATGGATCAATCCATCTACTGATTGATCCATCCATCCATCCATCCATCCGTCCATCCTCCTTCCTCCCTTTGCTCATCTGTCCATCCAACCAAGACTTCAGGAGTGCCTTCTCTGTGCTCAGTATTGTAACAGGCACTTTTACACAGATGAACAAAAAATGCAGAGTACTGAGTTCATACTGTTATTAGTGGAGACCAAAAAATGGATAATGAAATAAAAATGACTAACATTTATTGAGTGCTTACTATGTGTAGGGTCCTGTCCTTTTAACATGATTTGTTTTATTTTCACAGTGACCCCAGAGGGGAACACTCTTTTTATTTACTTATGTTTAATTGAGATATAGTTGGCATATGACATCGTGTAAGTCAGGTAAAGAAACTGAGGCCGTGTGAGGCTGATGGACTTGCTCACCGCAGAGAGGAAATAACGGAGCCGGGTGCGGCAGCCAGGCAGCAGAGCTCCAGAGCCTACTCTATGGTGTTTCTACACTTGACCATCGCTCTGTCAGCCATCAAGGCCCTTGAGATGCAGTTCAGCCTCCATAGCCTCCGCCCTCGCACCTGTGAGCTTGCCAATCTCATCTCTTGCCATTGCCCTGAGGTCCTTCCATTCTGGCCCTAGTGGCCTCCTCTCTGTCCCCTGGAACATCAAGTCTGTTCCTGTCTCAGGACCTTTGCACGCCTCTTTTCAGGACCTGGACCACACCTTCCCTTTTTGCACAAATCCTTCACACTCATTTCTAATGCCCTTTCTTCTGGAAGCCTTAGCCTGGTCAGCTCTCTCTATTTTATGCTCTGCCAACACACTGTATCTCTTCTTTACACCACTTGCCACAATGATCATTTTACACGCATGTGTGTGATTATGTGTTTGATGTCTGCTTCAGCCGTTACGCTGTTTGCTCCCTGAGGGCAAGGACCACGCCGGCTTTGATGGTGGCATCAGCCCTGGGAAGGTATCGTAGAGCAGGGGCTGGTGTGTGGTTGGTGCTGAGTCAGCATTTGTCCAAGGAAGAATGAATTCAGTGGGACGAAAGTGCTGCCGGCGGTCTCTGGCTTTCCCTCCTCCCTGCACCTTCCCCGCGGCCCCTCAGCTGGGGGCTTAATAGCAATACAACCCCCCAGGGGCAGGTGTACGGTTAGCAGGGGGCTTCCCACGCGTGCTGCCACGGGTAGCCAGCCGGTCAGCCGCTCCGACTCTGCGCCTGCTAGGAAGCAAGCTTCAGGCTTTTGTCGGCCTGCCCCCCACCCGTAGCTTCCCCCCACCCCCCTGACACTTGCAACATTTAAGAAGTGTTCACGGTGCGGCGGCTGACAGCACAGAGCTGTCAGCACAGAGCCCGACGCAAGGCTTGAACTCACATACCGTGAGATCATGACCTGAGCCGAAGTCGGACGCTTAACTGACTGAGCCCCCCAGGCGCCCCTTGTTAAGCGTTTTCTGTCTTCACCCTGTACCTTGCACATGTCTCTCTGCTGGGCACAACTTCCAAAACCCATGGGCTCCTGGGGTGTGTGGTGAGCCCCAGGCTGGAGGCTGCAGCCCTCCCCGGGCTGGCTCTGTGATGCAGGAACAGCTGGGGGAGAGGCGAGGGGGAGCTGCGGGCAGGGGTGGGGGAGGGCTGCCCGCGGGGTCCTTCTAGCCTCAAGCCCCCCTCGCCCACTGACACACGGGGCAATTTCCCCTCAGCTTATGGGAAAGCAAAGCAGCCTGACGCAGCGCCGGGCACTTCCTGGGGCTTAACCTGGATGAGGGGCAGGTGGCCCCTACTGGCCGACTCCACCGTCTCCCCTATTCCATGCACTCCCGCTCCCTTCCTCTCTGCGCGCAGGGGAGGGTGAGCAAGCAGGGCTGACTCTGAAGCTCTCCGCTTCACTCTCACAGTCGACAGACTCGGGTATGAGGGGCCGCAGAGTGTGGGCAGAGGTGGTGAGGCGCTCAGCCTGGCCCACCTCGGCTGTGTGACGCTGGGCGGGTTACTTAACGTCTCTGATCTTGGTTTCCAGGTTTATACAACATGGAGGATGAAAGTACTCACAGGGGTGTCTTAAAGAGCAATTAAGATTTTAGATGACAAGCCTTCGTCACAGAGCCTGGCATACAGCAAGCGCTCAACAAATGTTAGCTGTTGCCGGAACTGCATTAGGGCTGCAGCCACAGACAAGACAGAAAATCTGACCCAAAAAACTGACAGTCTGTCCGGGGAAAGCAGAAGACAGAAGAACTTGAAAGGCTCCCAGGGAAAACTGAAAGGAACTAGTGACAAATGCTACCTGGCTGCTATCCACAGAGTCATGACTTTTGTGCCCATTAACCACAAACGTTCCCATGACCCAGGGAGACAGAATTATTTTTATCCCCATTTCTCAGATTTAGGCATTGAGGCTCAGGGAGGTAGCTAGAAAGTGGAGGCATTGGGATGGGAAGTAGGTTCTGTCCAGTTTGAGATCCTAAATTCCTTCTGGGACCCTACTCTTTCTGGGGCTGGGGGAGGGAGCCCTGGACACTTTGGGGGCCACGGGGGATCCAGCAGGCACCACCCGCTGCCCACTCAGACCTGATCCCTTTGTGGGCCAGCAGCTGGTGCCACACATTGTGACAGTTGAAACACCCCCAGATGCCTTCCTGGGGAGGAGCAGTGTCACTCCTGTTAAGAACCACTGGCCTAGAGAATTCTAGAAACAGTGATCTGGGGCCTGGCACTGGCAAGCCAGCCTTGCCCAAAGCCGTCTCCGGACTTCTTGTTCAGCGTGATGACCAACGGTCTCTTGCTACTGAAGCCGGTGGCTTTCACCTTGACTGCACATTAGAGCCCGAGTTCTGTGATTCCGACCCAGGCTGTGGCCAAGAACGTCAGAACTGGGGGCGCCTGGGGGGCTCATTCGGTTAAGCGTCTGACTGACTCTTGATTTGAGCTCGGGTCATGATCTCACGGTTGTGAGATCGAGCCCCGAATCAGGCTCTGCACTGACGGCACGGGGCCTGCTTGGGATTCCGTCTCTCCCTCCCTCTCTGTTTCTAAAATAGAAAGAAAATCAGAACCGGAAATGCCTCCGGTGGTCCCAATATGAGAACCAGTGGCTTCCAGTCCATCTCCTGTTTCAATGTTTCCACAAACTACTTGGGAATCTTGTTCAAAACGTAGATTCTGACGCAGCCGCCTAGAGTAGGGCCCGAGAGGCTGACGTCCGGGGGGGGATGCTCGGCCCGCCGTCTGAGCAGCAAGGGCTGAAGCCTCGGGTCCCCCAACTCCAGCGAGGGGCCGCGTCGCCTGAAGGGCGTGTGGGAAGCAGAAGGCCGGCCCACCCCAGCCGCAGACGCGGCATGTCCGGTGAGGGCCCGAGACTCGGACGCCCCGCACGTCTCCGGGTGCTTCGGCGCGGCGGTGTGCGGACCACACTTGGTCAAGACGTGGGGTGGGGCCGCCCCGCCCCCAGCGGGCTGTGTGATCCTGGCCCGGCTGCATCATCGGTTCCTCAGTTTCCTCCCCCTCAACGTGAGGACGCAGAGATGCTCTGTCCTCTCCCAGAGCGCGCGCCACGGAGCTCGCGTTCACGCCCTGGGAGCCGCGGCCGCCCTTGACCCTGCCTGGGCCCCGGGGCCGCGGGCTGAGCATGGGCAGAACCCCCGGACGGCGCGGCCCCCCCTTCCGGCCCACTCACCGCCGACGTTGTTCTTGTACGTGTTGTACATCTCCTTCACCCGCCGGTAGCGGAAGGCCAGCTTCCTCATCCAGTCCACGCCGCCGTGGACGCCGGAGCCCAGGCACAGGTTGGCCCCCGGGGCCGAGCTGTGGAAGCCGTCGGCCGAGAAGTTGTAGGTGCTGCGAGAGGGGGCGAGAGACGGGTCAGTGTGCGAGGGGGGCTCTCGGCAGGGAGACCGCGGCCCCGCGAAGCCCCTGCATGCAGTGGCTGCTAGGAGAAGCCCTGACCCCCCTTTAGAGTTCGATGCTAGAAGGTAAGTCCAGAATATGGTTGTGGCCGGTTCATCGTGAGAGAAGAGTCTGGAAGAAAACATGTTAGTTCCCGCCACTTTGATCCCCCAGTCTGTGCTGTCTCACGTCCCCTGTAAGGCCTGGCTCCTGACTCCTTCTTGCCGCTCCAGGAGCGTGTACCTACCTTTCCACAGAAATGCCACATTCTAGGTTTTTAAATATATATTTTTTTAAATTTATTTCTAGGAGAGAGAGAGAGAGACAGCGTGAGCAGGGGAGGGTCAGAGAGAGAGGGAGACACAGACTCTGAAATAGGCTCCAGGCTCTGAGCTGGCAGTCAGCACAGAGCCCGATGCGGGCCCGAACCCACGAACCGCGAGATCATGACCTAAGCGAAAGTCGGACGCTTAACCGACTAAGCCACCCAGGTGCCCCTAGGTTTTTAAATTTTTAAAATAATGTTTAATTTTTGAGAGAGACAGTGTGAGCAGGGGAGGAACAGAGAGAGAGAGAGGGAGATGCAGAATCCGAAGCAGGTTCCAGGCTCTGAGCTGTCAGCGCAGAGCCCGTCGCGGGGCTCAAACCCACGCACTGCAAGATCATGACCTGAGTGGAAGCCGGATGCTTAACCGATGGAGCCGCCCAGGGGCCCCTGAGTGTTTCTGGTTTGTTAAATCTGGCAGCGCCGATTGCTGGCGCTGTGCAGACACAGTCCTCCACTCGGAACGAAGCAGGCTGGCCTCAGGAGTTCCACGTGTGGACTGGGGAAGAGCCAGAGTGTCACACGAAGTTAACGACAGAAGTGGCACCTGGGAATCCGAACGGGAGAGTGGGGGCCACTCCTCGCCTACAGCAACCGGCGCGTGAGAATGAGCTCCCCCTCCACCAGAGACCCCTTCTCTCCCTCTGCCAGCAGCTTTGCAGGAGGTCTGCAAAGTGACCATCGCGGGGAAGCCACAGTGTGACAAGGGACACACGTGCAGTATGACCCAAAGCTTAAAAAACAAGTCTCTTTCTAGAAAAGAAGAGAAGAAAACAGGTCGGCATAATGCCAGGCTGTGACCTTGGCTCACGGTTTTCCTCTTTGCCCTATTTGCCGTTTCTAGATTTTCCAGGATGAGCTGAGGAGTAGAAAGAGACATTTCAGTTTCTACAAAGTCGTGTTGTAGCGGATGAAACGGCACCTGGAAGCCGTGTCTCGCGCACGTCTGGTACTTCAAGGCCACCGCAGCGGCCCAGGTGAAAGGGCGTCTGCGAAGGGTGAGAGGCTGGGTGGCTCTCCCTGTGGGGCGTGTGCGGTGTCCACGGCCAGAGCACTGCGCGAGTGATGCGCTGCTGTCCCCCACCGTTCTGTGCCTGGGGCCCAGCCTTGAGCAGAATCCGGCCTCCCTCCTGGGGTGACGACAAAACCCGGTGGAGGCCCCAGAAGCGCCTGGGATGAACTCTCCTCGGCCTGATTTCCCCTGGGGGCTCCCTGGGGCCTGCGGGCCGGCGACTTAACCCTGAAGGACCCAAATGCAGTCCCTGGCGTTCTGCACAGCACATTGTGTGAAGAGCCAGAGAGAGACAGCGGCCACAGGGTCACACACACATACACACACCCGCGTCCCTTGTCACAGACATTTCTGCGAGTGTGACCGTGTACAACACCGGAAGCAAGGAAGCCATGATGGCAGCAAGTGGATGGTTCGAGACGGCGAGGATATGGGTGGTACCGTCTCTTCTCAAATGTACAAAACCCCGCGGAGAACAGATGGACCCAATAACCCGTCTGTTCAAAAACGTCCTTTTTCCCGCGAAGGACGTGACCGGCTTCCTTACACAGACGTGTTGCTGCTTCTTCATTTCACCCGCCTTGGGTGGTGACGACCGGGGGTAAAGATGAACGAAATACACCCAACTCGTGAAGGGGGACAGACGACATCCAACCGCAGGGCCAGGGAGCCTCGCGCCGGGCGCTTTTCCAGCACGGGCAGCCCGGTGTGGGGGGGGGGGTCGAGAAATGACTTTACCCCGTCACACCCCTCGTTTCCAGAAGCCGCACTTCAGTCCCTCCGCTTTACTGCAGAGATTCCCATCTCGCAGGACAATATCTCCTTCTTCTTTCTTAGAAACTTTATTTTCCGCCAACCTCGATTCCATCTTCTCTTTGAGCCTCTGTGGAAGGACAGCCTAGGGCCCTCGGGGGTTGCTGCTGCCCGTTCGGTGGCCGGAGCACTGCGGTCCTCACCGGGGAACCCCGGGGCAGGCACCGAGGGCAGCTGCGCGCCCCCGACCCGCCTGCAGCCACAGCCCATCACCCGGAAACTCCTCCTCCTCCGCCACGGGCTTTCCAGCCACGGCCGGCTCCTCCTCCATCTCTTCAGAAGTCTCTGTAGAAGCCGAGATCAGGCGTGGTCTCCGGGGGTGTCACGGGAGACGGTGCCACGGACGCGCAGGATGTCCTAGGCCACCACCCTCCCCCACCGGACCGCCACCTCCCTCCCCTGTTGCTTGGGGGTGGCGGTGTCCACAGGGCTCAGGGGACGGTCTGTTACGCAGAGCAGCGGCCGGCGGGGTGGCACCTCTGCTGGCTACTGATCCCAGGGCTGGGCACCGTGAGGGGCGGCCGGTCAGCCCCGGGGCCAGTAGCCAGCAGGTGTGGCTCCGGGACGTGCCCGGATCTGGTCCGGGAAGGCTCGAGGAGGGAAGGCCCCGCGGCGGCGGCGCAGGTCAGCACAGCCCGCTGGCCAGCATTCCCGGGGGGCGCGGGGGGGGCCCTGACATCACTAGGGTCTCCCACGGCAACCAAGTGACGAGCCGCCCACAGAGCCTCTTCCACGTTTCTCCCGAGTTCTGACGCAGGTGCCAGTGCTTCTCCTTCTGCGGGTCACAGTTCTGTCTGGAAGCCCCGCTGGGTGCCACCTAAGTGGGTTCCTGCTGTAAGGAATTTGGGGACACCTTCCTGCTTCACTGCCAAGACGTCAAGGACTCACGATGGGAACCCGAGGGCGCCGCCTTACAGACCGCTCGCGGGGAGCGTGGAAAGGCCAGATCACCCGGCCTTGAAAAAGAACACTGACTAACCGCTCAGAGGAAAGCCTGGGTTCCCTGCCGAGCGGTGGAGGGCAGGTGGAGGGCGTCCATGAATCCTGCCCCCCCCTCCCCGGCCCCCCCGCCCCAGCTGTGGGAGGTTCGGCAAGTGACTTAATCTCTCTGTGCCTCCTATTCCCCAACTGTCAAATGGGGATGAGGAAAAGAGCATCTATTCCCGAGGGAACTGTGACGATGCCGCGAGCTAATGCACGCAAGGCACCTGCAACAGGGGGGGGGGCAAAGTAAGGGCGTTACCCAGGTTCCTTTCTGTTGCTAACGGAAAAAAAAACCAAACAAAAGAAGGGGCATTTGGTGCTTGGTGCCTGGCACACAGTAGGTGCTCAAAAGAGATTTCCTGAGTGAAGAAATGGGAGAACTTGGTTTCTAGGGGGAAAAACATCCTTGGACTGTGGGTTCTGGAAGTGAGGTTCCAAACAGCCCGGCACGAGGCGGGGTCCGGAGGACGGCTCTGCGTCCCCAGCGGGCCAGCTGCAGGGAGCGCTGCGGCTCACCGCTGTGAAGGGGAGGGTGGTTCCCAGCTGTGACGTCATGGGAAGGGCACAATGAAGCTTGATCTGGGGTTTGTTTACTCCATAAACAGAGCAGTGCTGGCTGGCACTGGAGGCTTGCTCCTTTCCTTGCCAGGCCTGATTGCCAGGGGTTTTCAGGACGGCCAAGTACTATGAAGCAGGCACCTGCCTATCACTTCCGGTGCTGCTGGGCTTTGAAATGACTTCCGGGGCCCAGGCACAGAGCTTTGATTTCTCTTTTTGGCGTAAGGTGGAAGACACACCGAGGAAGCAAACATTAAGTGACGTTACTGGCCCCCTACAGGAATCATCATTTAGTCGAATAACATTTTGGACGGGCCGAGAGGTCGGGATCATTTTGGATAAGCACACATGAACTCTGGTTCCATTTTTACAAGGTTTTCTCCGGGGCCGGCTTGGAACATTCTAGTCACATTTCTTTGGAAGCTGTCTCGTTTTGGGTACCTTATTTCTGGAATCCACGTCCTAGGAATGTTTTCCCCTAGAAACCAGACATGCCATTTACTCAGTTGAGAAATATTTGGAGTATCGACTGTGTCAACTTTTATATTAAATACCGTACATATGCTAATGAAGCAATGAAAGCTTTGAAGACGCGGAGCCAAACTCTTAGTGGTGGTGATTCTGGGAGGCAAGAACAGAGGTGATGTTTGAGGTTTTACGAGAGGCACGCGTTACTTTAGTGAGTGGGGAGAAAACCGTGGTGAGACAGACATAAGCAGAGTCATAGAGAATCTGTGGAATCTCAGCCTCAGCGACTGGAGGTGATGCATGCGGAAGAGTCTGCAGGGTGTAGGGGCTGGGCTGCAACCTTTGGGTTCTGGCCAGGCAGGCACGCGCGTCATCCTCATAGCCAGCCCGCCTCTCCTCTCCTCTCCCTTCCTGGTGAAAGGCAAGCTCAAGGACCAACCAAAAGGGGGCATTTTTGACTCCCCAAATTCCTACCTTAAATCTTGCCCATTGTCATCAGATGAGACGTCGTCAACGTGGATCTGGTCGCAATCCTACGGAGAATGTGGCAAGAGGAGAAAAAGAGGGAGAGGCATGACTGGTTAATCTGCTGTAGCCTCTGAGAGCTGAGCTGGGGAGCACTGTCCTGGGAGCCACCAGCCCTGAATTCTAGTCTGAGCTCTGCCACTACAGGTTAGGGGACCTCTGGTTAAGTCTCAGCCCTTCTTTTGCCTTTGGTTTCCTTAGAAATGAAACCATTTCTATTACCATTACAGGTTGGCTGTAAAGAGGGCCGTGACCATATCATGGATCACGCAAACCAAGATAGTTCTGCAAGTCAGAGGGGCTGCTGTTAAGATTACACTGGAGGGACAGGCACAAAACACGTCCCCTCTCCACCTGTGAGTACGTTAGCACATAGGTCGCCCTAGCCCCATGGCAGAAGCCACTGCCTTAACCAAAGGATTTCTTCTGCTCAGAACACTCTTCTGCCTTCATCTGCATAGTGAGCCTTGTATTCTTCAAGCATTAGCTTCTTTTTTTTTTTTTAAATTTTAAAAAATGTTTTATTTATTTCTGAGAGAGAGAGAGAGAGCATGAGCAGGGGAGGGTCAGAGAGAGAGGGACACACAGAATCTGAAACAGGCTCCGGACTCTGAGCTGGCTGTCAGCACAGACACCGACGCGGAGCTCGAACCCACGAACTGCAAGATCTTGACCTGAGCCGAAGGTGGATGCTTAACCGACTGAGCCACCCAGGCGACCCCTTCAAGCATTAGCTTCTGGAGGTACCCGCTTCCCCAGTCCTCTCTGGGTCTGATGATACACAATCATCACTTATGGAGTACTTATTACGTGCCAGGCAGTATTCCAAGGGGTTGCCATTCAACAGACTCCAAAGACCTACTGCCTTCCACCACCCACAATCCCCCAGTTCTACTCGGGGAAACACCTTAACACCGGTGAGTTAAGACCAAGGGGAGGGGATGTGGCCACATGACCCAGGTTCAACCAATCAGAGAGACCCAGGAGCCCTCCGGCTTCAGAGATTGCATCAGAGATGAGCACATGTGGTCTAAACTCGACCAATGAGAGAGCCAATCCCGGGAATTCGGCTGGGACTTTGGGAAAGCCTCTCCTTCGCTGCAGCTGCCGATGGTGGGAAAATCAAGTCCGAGAGCCGGAGACGGGGGAATGAGGCCCTGGTCCCGTGATCTGATCCGCTGGCTCCAGCCTTGCCTGAAACCAGCCCGTGCTGAGTGTGCGAGGTTGAACAATGCTCACCCCCCACCCCAGTGTCTATGTCCTAATCCCATGGTCCTTCTATGGCGAGAGGGACTCTGCAGATGTGACTAAGTTTAAGGGCTTGAGAGGGGGAGGGCCTTGGGGTTATGCAGGTGGGCCCTCAATGTGATTACAAGGGCTTCTGTATGAGGCAGAGGGACATCTGAAGACAGAGAGGAGAAGGGGATTCGGGGGACTGCTCTAAAGATGAAGAGGTCACCGGCCAAGATCAGGGTGGCCACCAGATGCCCAGATTCTCCCCCCAGAGCGTCGCTGATGCCTTCAGCCCAGTGACACCGATGCTGGGCTTCTGACCTCTAGAACGGTAAGAGACCACACGTGCCTTGTTATAAGCTACTACGGGGTGGTTATTGGTTACAGTCGCTGCAGGAAACCCTCCCTGGGCGCTTCGGCTCAAGCCGACGGAGCTGGATTTCTGTCACCCTGCAGCCAAGTGACGCATGAAGCCACTTGCAGTACGCACCCAGCCGTCACACAGTCCGTCCCAGTGACAGGCTGATCAGGCAAAAGTAGTGCGTGCTTTGCCTGCCCCACAGCCCCGGTGAGGCTCAGACGCCGGGTTTGGACCCTAGATCCTAACACTTCCCGGCTGTGTGACCTTGAGCCAGTTGGCAAAACCACCCTGAGCCTTAGAGGTCGCATTGGGAAGTGGGGGATGATGGAGCTCCTGCACAGGGTTGGCGGATGCCAGGAGAAGTGAGAGGCTGCGCTGAAAGCGTCTAGTACCGCGGCTGGAACACGGCAGGTGTGGGATGTGTGCTGTGCTGTGGTTTCTATTATTGTGCTAAGATTCATAAACGTGCACGTTTAGGTGCAGGGTAACCTCAGGAATCAGGTAGCTCCGGGAAAACACTGCTAGGGAGAGGAGAAGCACATGCAACTCTGAGCTTGACCTCTAAGAGAACAACTGGTGGTAACATCTCTGGACTCTCGGTGAGAGGGCAGCCTGTGGGGAAAAAACAGTGGTTTCTACTATTTTGAGCAGATCTCTTTTTACATAAGGAAGAGGCTTGAGTTTATCTTTGAGAACAGGGGTTCTACTAGGGGATGACGGGAACCCCTTCCCTCATTAATTTTTTAAGATATATAGAAGCAACTGTGTTGTTATGGAGATGCGGGTGGGGACAGTGGCATTTGGGGCAGGCCTGGCTACTCTGTGGGGTCGAGGCTGGAACCTGGTACAAAGGGGTGCTGTGGCCACTGGTCCCTCTCTGGTCCCCTGCAAGGGCTTTGGATTGTAAAGGGGTTTGCTGGGAGGTGAGGTTGGCTTCCGGAGTCCCCAGCCCCCTGGGGTCCACAGCTCTGCGGCAGGGAGAGTATGGCTCGGAGTCCTGACGCTTGGGACCCCGCACATCCGTGGGCCTGGGAACAGCACCTGGGTACAGGCAGGACTGTGCGCTCTGACAAGCCTGGAGGGGAAGGGCGGGGGGAAGTCGCCGCGCATGGGTTCCTAGGGGTCAACTGTGGGCAAGCAGAAATCAGTGAAGAACATGGCGGGTGCTAAGTGGTAAACCCAACTGGAAGCTCTTTGGAGAGTGCTGGAGAAAGAAAAAAAAAACTGGGGACGCTGAGTGACCACTCTTGAGCTAGCAGATATCTGACTTACACCTGAACCTCTATCATTCCTCATTCCAGGTTTCCTTTCTTTCCACGTACCTGGGATTCTAACTGATGCTTGGTGGTCTCAGGTATAACTGATTCCCCTTCCCAAGAGGGACTGTCCAGTGCTCGCTTCGGCAGCACATATACCAAGAGGGACTGTCCTTTGCTAAAGTAGTTGAGCACCATGGTACACCCCAACTTGAAAGATTCTATAGTCATGCTAATACCATAGCGATTAGCCACACGTGGTTATTTATAGTTATTTTCAAATCAATTTAAATTAAACAGCACAAAAAATGGAGTTCCGTAGGCCTGTTTCAAGCACTCAGCAACCACACGTAGGTGATGGCTACTGTACTGGACGGTGCACGTAACTCCCATCAGCACAGAAAATTCTAGGGGGCAGTGCTGCTCTCGAGGGGTCAAGGCATCAGGTTGACAACTTCTCTTCTGTGTCAATAAGTTCGATTAGGGAGCTCACAAGCTAGCCCACACTATGCTTGAAAAATTGTTTTGGAACAATATTTGTTGGGAGCCATTCTGAGCCCACTAGTCGAGAAAGCTCCTGGTGAGGTTAAGGCAAGTTTGCACACCAATCAGATGATGACCGATATCCACCCCCACCCAGTTATTTCTGCTGGAGCACCGACCCCCCAAGGTACTTTGTTAATCAATATCGGGAGTGACTTGTCCCCTTATTCGGGCCCTGGTATGATGATTGCACCTTGTGAAGGAACTTATTGTGGGAACAACTTCTTTCGATTATGGGAACAGACATTGTGTCTCCAGCAGGTCCTGTTTCCCTCCATACTTTCCCTTGAGCTATGAACAGACTAATGACCCTTACTCATAAAAGATTGACCTTTACGTGTACAATTCTGTTTCTACCGTTGCGTTAGTCCAAGATGTTCATACAGCTCAACATGTAAATCAGCTAACCAAAAATGTCTCTCAGGCCCTAGCTATTCAAGAAATCACAAAACTAGACACAAAGGTAAATGCACTCAAAGAGGCTATTCTATGTATTGGAAATGAGCTAAACTCTTTAAAGGTACAGTTGGCTCTCTGGTGCCATAAGGAATATAACTGGAAAATCAAGTCTTGCCCAGAGACAAAGAGCCTAACTTAGAGAGAAGGAACAGATAAGGGCAGAACATAAGTTACCACATACACCTTTGCTAACTGTTGGTGTATAGCAGCCCCTTCCCTAAGGCCTACTTTCCACAAACACCTTCCCTTTCCCTGGCAGCTGTGATGAGGATGGATAAGAATATCTACAAACCTATGACTTAATCTTAGCATTATTAAAATGTGTACGTTATCCTGTTTTCACTGAGAACACCCTGTTATTTTCTTAGTTATTCAACCTCACTCTAATTGGGACAGTTCTGCAAGAAGACTTCTATAAAACCTATTTCTGTACATTTCCCAAAACATCTTATCACAGAGAACTATCCACTGTAAAAATCCCATTTTCAGATGCCATGTTAACGTTTGACCTATAAATAAAGACACCAAACCCGACAGGGCAGAGATGCCTGCCTGGTGACCAGAATCTTCGGGCTCTCTCCCTCCCTCGTCGACACTGTCCATCCTTCAGGGACCCCTGGACCTGGCCGGAGCTGGACTCTGGCAAATAATAGCCAGTATGTGAGCTCAGGGGACCTCTCTTCCTCCCTTTGCTCTTCTCCATCTTCTCCCTTCCTGCTCTCACTCTTTCTCTGTCTTTCCAGGTTTTTGGCTACTCTGAGTCTTTACACCCTCTGGCAATGCAGGTCTTGTGTTGTTCTGTCCCAACCATCCTCAGCCCTTGCCAGTGCTCGTCTGGGCTCTCTTCCCTTCACGTCACCTGGTTACCTGGGGCCCCTGTGGGCATCCTAGTTTGAGACCTGTGATCCACACACATCGTCAACGAAACATCTTTAAAAAGCCAATGCTGACTTTGAAGACCCAGGCACAGAGAAAACAAAATTAGTAGCAGACTTCTCCCCCATCCAATGCTTTGCCTAAAATTGGAAAAATGCCTCCCTGCTCCCCCCCCCCCCAACTCCCCCAGTCCTTGCCTGAAGCTCGAAAGCCGCTCCGGGGGTCGCAGGGGCTCAGGCCCCAGGGCAGGGGCACCCTGTGCTTTCCCTGACGTCAGGGG